TTGTGTACACTCAGCGGCTTTAGGGAGCTCACTGGATGATAAAATCCTAGTGGCATTGTTTCTGGGCTAATCAGAAAATAACAGGCACCACTGATACATGGTTAGCCAGCCCAGAGTTGCCTATGGAAGTTTTCCCTCAAAAATTTCAATGGTTTGATAATTGAAAATATTAGTCATTCCCACCCTGCCCAAGATTTATTCCTGGGTGATCCTGCCAAATTACTAATCCTGATTTGTTATGGTTTGGCACATTATCTGGCCCAGTTTTGATTTTTCCCAGGGGGCATCCTGAGAGAGATTCAAAAGCATCGCTGAGGACAAGTTAGGATTGGGCTATTGCTTTCGTAGCGGTTTCCTTTCTTCAGTAGACTTACCTTGAGGATGCTCATTTTCCAGAGCTGGGGAGCTATCTGAAGAAGTGACCTGGAGAGAAAAGAGGAACAAAGATTCAGCCTATCCTAGGCTCCATCCATTCTGGCCAAGCATGATGAGAAAGGATGGTGAACTAATGATGTCATTTAAAGCACCATAAGGCCCTCTTAAAATATTATCTCATTTAATCATAACAACCCTGAGGTAAATACTATTATTAGCCTCATTTTCACAGATTAGAAAACTGAGGCTCAGCAAATATTAAACAGCCTGCCCAAGGTCACATGGCTGAGGTAGAACAGGAGCTTGAACACATATCTGTATGGTTCCAAAGCCTATGCCCTTATCTACCACAATGCCTAATGAAACATTAGACTTAAAAGCTGAGACTAGAAAATCTGAGAATCCACAAGGTTCTCACAGATCTACTTTTTAAAAACAAGGAAGCCAGAGAGACAGTACTGCTTCCCCCCAAATACTAAGCCTAGCTGTAGACACTAGAATCATAGATATGCCCCTTTACCATTAAGAGACGACCACATCAGGGGTGCCTGGTGGCTCAGTGGGTTAACCGTCCAACTCTTGATTTCAGCTCAGGTCATAATCTCAGGGTCGTGAAATCAAGCCCCACATCGGGCTCTATGCTGGGCATAGAACCTGCTTAAGATTCTCTCACTCTCTCACCCCCCACCCTTCCTGCGCGGGTGCTAAAAAGAAAAGAGAGAGAGAGAGAGACAGGACCACATCTAGGGAGGATCCCGGCAGCTGACTGTCACAGAGAGCTAAAGCTTGAATGACTGAGGGGTGGATGAGGACAAGTGTTTCGAAACTGGGGACCTGACTCCTCTTAGCACCTTGTGAGTCAAAGGCTCCTACAGCCTAGAGGATGCTGGTTTTCCAAGCTTCTTTGACCATGACAGTCTGACATTAGAGTGCTTTGAATATAGAGAAATCTTCAGAACCATCTCTGGGCTCCCTCAAGTGGGAACATTTGGAAATTTCCTTGTTATCTAGGAACCCAGGAGGGGTCATGCTAATTTTAATCCACTGGAATCAACAGATTTGGCTCCATTTATTCTGGGTAACATACCAAAACTAACTTAAAGGCGTACTTCACCTACATAGCTGCTGTAGTAACACGAAATTAAAGGCCTTGGCTTGAACCTGGAAGGTTGGTGGTAAACAGGGTCAAGTTGGCAGGACAGCTCTAAATTTCCCTCCCCTAATGGCCCAGGGTGGGGGCAGGAGGGAAGGGGAATAATCACCCTCTCTTCTCTCTGGGCTGCATTAGACTATCAGCTTGGCCTGGCATTTTGGCAAGGCTATCGGAACAACAGCCTCATCACTTATAAGTGGGAGAGAGGGCTGTTCAGTGGTAAAGATACACACATGATAACACAGTCTCACAAAGATCTACACAAAGACACAGAAACGGCGACTTGTGTAGCTGTTTATAGTAAGTATTATATCACATAATACTTACATCCTGCACTGTGCTACAGTTTTTTTGTTTATTATCCATCCAAACAGGCTTTAAAATTCCTGGAAGCCTAGAACTATTTTATATTTCTTTGTATCTAGCATGGGGTTCTGCACATAAATCTCAATTGTTTTGTTTTTTAACTCTCAATTGATAATGACAGTGATGCACACTCCCGTGAACAGAGAGACCTAAGATTAAGTTACAGGGAGAAAGTGATGTACAGGTAGAGATACAGAAACCTACACAACAGAGTCAGGCATTACTGAATATGACTTTACCTCTCTGCCTGTTTCTCCACACAGGAGGATAATTCTGTCCACTTCTCTCTGCTTTGAATAACATAGGAAACCTGAGAAAGTACCACTGTAATACATGAGTCCAAAGTATTATTATAGAGACACAGGCTAGATCTGACACATGGACTCACAGTTTCTTCTGACTCCTGATCCACATTTTTCTCAAAGATTTATTTATTTATTTTAGAGAGAGAACACGCACACGCTGGGGGGAGGGGCAGAGGGAGAGGGAGAGAAAAATTCAAGCAGACTTGGCACTGAGTGCAGAGCCTGATGTGGGGCTTGATCTTACGATCCTGAGATCATGATCTGAGTCGAAATCAAGAGTCGGATGCTTAACCGACTGTGCCACCCAGGTGTCCCCCCCACCCCTCCGATCCACATTTCTAATTGTTTGCTGGATAACCACAGATGTCACAAAGACTCCTCAAACGCTTCAGTACAAAACAGCATCTGTCCTTTCATCCTATTATTCTTACTGGGGCTCCCATCTCTGTTTTTTTGCATTGCTCTCCTATAGGTGCCTAGGACTGTAGTATTGATTCCTCCAAGAATGAGCTATGCCAATATGTCTGCTTGGAATCGCAGGGCAGGGCATGACCTAAACTTGTCCTTAACATCTATCAACTAAGCTGGTATGTTAGAAATGTCTCAAATCCATTTCTCTCCTTTCCACTTTCACAGTTTTAACTTAGGCTTTTACCTCTCACTTCTGCAATGTTCTCTAAATTGGTCTCCCTGTCCTAAATCTATCTCCTTTTCATCTTTCATGCTGTCTCCAAGTTCTCTTACTAAGCATCTCAGGTCTGTAAGGGACTTTTATCTCCAGCAACTAGCAGTTCACTACTTTCTGAAGTGGCTCCATCCATTTGCAGAAGCTGTTAAGAACACTCCTAAAGCACACTCGCTGCCTTGCTCATAGAGCGTCCATGGCTCCCCTTATTACAAAACAAAGTTCAAACTTAGTGTGGTATGCAATACCTTCAACCTGACCTCAGCCTACTTTTCCAATCTTTTCTCCCACTGCAAGCAAAATCTAAAGCTCCAGCAACATCACGCCACTGGCTCACCCTCAATTAATCTCTACATACCCCGATTTCTATGCCTGTGCTCACACTGTTCTCTCAACCTGCAATGCCCTCTCCTAGGTTCATAGTAATTTCTCCCTCCTCTATGCTTCCACAGTCCTTTGTTTGCATCTTGATGATAGCATTTATTACAGTCTACCTTCGATAACAGCTGTCACTGGTTTGCCCTCACCCCCACTCCAGGCAGGCTGAGCATTTTCAAAGCAAGGGTTTTTTTTCTTCTTTTTAAAACAATTTCTATTCCAAGAACCTAATCAATACAAAAAGTGTGAGGACTAAATTAGTAGAAGAGCTATATAAAAATGTTTTGTAAACCATAATACATTTGTGAGTAAAATAAAAATTGATACGTTATTTTGCAGTTAGTGGAACCAGACCTTTTATTCTTTATTTATTATTATTTTTATGTAAACTCTATGCCCAACATGGAGCTAGAACTCACGACCCTGAGATCAAGAGTCACATGCTCTCCTGACTGAGCCAGCCAGGCGCCCCAGACCTTTTATTCTTGTTCAAAATTCTCTTAATCTGTAAGAGCTGATTCCCTTGCTCGGGTGCCCAACTGCAAATCACTTTACCACTTTGGTCTGTTTTCTCCTCTATAACTTGAGGGACAGGACCTCTCTGCAGGCAGAGAAAGGGTGTGGTAAAGGAATTACTATGGGCATGGGACTGACCCAAAGAAAGATGAACCTGCCAGTAACAGATGATAAAAATCAAGACACGGAAGAATTACTCTGGCCGACAGGGGATATTTGGTTCCAGAGTGCTAGAAAAAGGTTCCTGAGAGTGACGGTGGATCCAAACATGTAGCAGGCTACCTGCAACATCTCTGGGAGGATGACATGGGCCTGCCACAATTGTGCAGTGCCTGCTAGCCAAGAATGATCTATGCCAACACTCCTGCTTAGAATCGCAGAGCAGGGCATAACCTAAACTTGTTCAGGGACACAGCGGCCTCTAACACTGAAAGAGTCCCTCCTTCAGGGAGAGCCCACTTTCCAGTCTTATTAAGGCAATGTGACTTCGCTAGACATCTCGAAGCAGCATAAAAGTCTTTCTGATCTCCCTCCTGCCAGCGCTTGCAGGGCTCACACTCAGACAACCGGGGGCCAGGTGCTACCCGCAAGCGGGAGTCCCTCGGAAGCCCCCTGCCTTACCCAGGAAAAGCCGGATCACAACCCTGCTCTCTCCGGCACACCTCTAAAGGTGTGAGGTGCTCAGAGGAAAGGAGGCCCGAGATCGCAAAGGTGTGCTCGGGTTCCTAACGGAGAGCAGTCACTGCCAGCTCGGGCTGAGAGTACCACGGACGTAAGGTAGGCACCGCGCGGCCCAGTCCTAGGAGATGCGCCCAGCGAAGGAGCGGAGGGGCAGGGTCACGGGATAGGACAGACACCGGCTTCTCGTGCAGCGCCGGTCCCTGCCCAGGCCTCCCCGTCCCCTAAAGAGGGTCTCGGGCTCCACAGCGCCCCCCGCCGCCCTCCCGTGCTCCTCACCGTCTCCATTTCAAGAGGCGCTGACTGGGTTCGCTCGCTTTAGGAAGCTCTCTGGGAGCCGGTAGGGAGGGGCGGAGGGGGCTCAGGCCCCGCCCCACGTCCGGTACCGCGACACCACTTCCGTCTACGTCAGGCACACGCAAGCCAAGGGCGGAAGGGGAGGAGTTCACTCTTCCGGCGTGGCCTGGCCTCGGTAACCGCCCTCCCCTGGGTCCTCTCGGACCTTCCGGATCCGCCGACGGCGAGGGTGACTGGACGGAGCCGCTTGTATTTAAAATGTTCTTTTTTATTTGTCGTTTAAAAACAAACTTGGAAGAAGCAAAATCCAAAACTTGCCCTTTGCCTCTTGCAACATAAATTATGTACAGTTCAGAATGATCGCTGATACAAAACATGCCAAGGACAGGGCGCTGGGGGTGGAGGGAGAGAGGGCGCTTTAAAAAAGGGAATCATTTCATCCGTTGTTACGAAGGACCAACCTTGCTGTACAGGATACACACAACACAAAATAAAGTCTTCACGGGATTCACACTTGTCAGCGATTTATTTTTTAAAAAGGGGGAGGGTCCTGGAGGTGAGGGGAGAAGACTGTAAAAGGGAAAAACTGAAAATTGAATATGTGCAAGTGTAAACCAACCTAAAATAAAAACATGGGGGGAGGGAGGCGGGGGAGGGAGAGGAGGGAATTCAGATGCAATTATACAGGCGGGGTACTTAAAAACAAAACAAAACAAAAAAACCAACAACCAAAATTCCAACCTTGTAGCCTGGGTCTGAGTTAGTTTATATAAAAATTAAAAACTGTATAGGTTTCTTCACTAAATTCTACAGGACTATCGGATACCTAGCATATGCTTACAAAGTCTGCCCCATCCCCTTTTCCCAATCCCAGGGCCCAAGCCCCAACCAGAGCCTGACTCACAGGAGCCAATCTTCCCCCTCCCTGTAGCCTAGACCTTTTGCTCTTGGAAAAGGAATATCCAATGGCTTTGGGGGCAGCAGCCCAGTCTCCCCACTGTCTGATTTAATGACAGTGGTTTCTGTGGGGGTGGGGGGATGTTATTCTCTTAAAGATTTGCAGCTTGAAACAGTTGAGGAAGCAGCTTTAAAAAAAAAAAAAAATCTCCCTACCCCCATCAATCCGCAACCCCCCAAATTCAAAAACAAAACAAAACAAAACCTAAAATCACAACAGCGACCTTGCTCCCCCTCCAGCAGGCCCGCCCATCCACCGCCACCAAGCCCACCCCTACACTCCAGACATTTGATTCTTGAAAATATTAATTACAAAATGCCCTTTGCCCACAGCCCCTAGGAGAGAACTGCATATAAGCTTCATCTTCATCCCCACGCTCCCTACTTGAGGGGGTCTGGGGCCTCACCCACCCCCAACCTACCCCTACCCCCCAGGAAGAGGTTCAACTGCAGCACAAGCTTGGGCAGAAAGGGGGAAGGAAAGGGAGGCAGGGAACCCATCACCCTCTGGCTCCCCCTGGGGCCAGCTCACTTTTGTGCGTTATAACATAGTCCAACTATACAACGGGGGTGAGAATTGCCCAGCCTCTATACCCCCACCTTACAGCAGTCACAGCCAGGGGGTGGGGAGGAGGGGGTGAGGAAAAGGGCGGTAGGTTGGGTAATGGAGGGGGCCCCCCCACAAGGGGAGCTCCATGTGTCCGCCCCACGCCCCCCTACCATTTATAAACTGGTTTTGTAAAAAGAAAATAGATATATTTATATAGAATATATAAAGCACAAAAATTAGTAGTTTTACATTTGCTCTCCCCGGGGGTGGGGGGAGAGGGGAGGGTTCTCACCTCCAGCCGGCTCCCCCATTCCCCACAAGACTATGTACAATCCCATGTATAAATAGATAAATACCCCCCACCCTCCCCGCGCTGACACTAAGCTCCCCACCCCCACATCACCACCCCTTCCCACCAGACCAGCAGCAGTTTGGTGACTGAGGGAAAGTGGGAGCTCCGGGCCACACCCTGCCTCACTGGGTATGGGCATGCCACTCAGGGATAGCCCTCACCCTACCACCCATCCACCCCATCCAGGGGCTGGAGGGCAAATGGGCTCATGATGGGGTTGGGAAAACAGGAGGGAGATATCCTGGTCCTAGGTTTAGCACACCCCTCCTGCCCCCATGTCCAGATGGAGAAGGAAGTCCTAGAGCAACTAGGGGCCAGTTATCCCCAATCTTCATCATCATTAGCCTCAACCACCATCCCATGCCCATAATTAAAAACAAAGATGGATTTTTTGTTGTTGTTTTTCTTCCTCTTCCTACCCCCCTTCCACCCACTCAGAAGAGGGCAGTGAGGCGGAAGAGAGGGTCGGGGCAGTAGGGGGCTTGGAGAGGGTCTCACATTTCAAAACAGCAAAAAATCCAACACTTAAATGAGGTAGGTGTGGGTGCGGGGTCTCCTTGCCCGGCTTGCCTGACTTGCCCTCCTGGGCAGCTGGGCGCCTCTTTCCCGTTCATGTTGCATTTGTCAGAGTGGAAAACAAGGAAACACAACCCATAGAGAGACAGAAACACAGAGGAGAAGAGGGAGACAGAGACAGATTGAGAGGGAAGGGGATGGGAGTGAGGGTGGGGGCAGGACCCGGCAGGCAGGGCCAGGTGTGGGACCCGGCCTTTGGGATTGTCAAGCTTAGTCAAGTCTCTTTGCAGCCTCGAGTCGGGCCGGAGAGGTCGGTGGGAGCAGCAGGGCTGTGAGGCCCGGCCACACATCCTCCTCCCCCCTCCCTGCTGCCTCCCAGTTGCTTCTGGGTATTTCCCGGCCCATATCCCCCTCAAACCTGAGATGCCCAATGGCTGCTTCTGTCTGGCCCCTCCTGGAGCTGGGGGCAGAGATGCCAGCCTGGGGGCCGGTGGCGGGGAAGAGGGTTGTCCCTGGTGCCCAGGGTGGGCTTGGCCTAGGGCCCTCTGCCCCAGCCTCCTGCTCCAGGGGCTCCGGTCAGCCGGCAGCCCCAGCCCTGGGTCCTGGCTCTGGCTGCTACCTCTCTTCCCCCTCATCCCTTTCAGGGAAGAGGTTGGGGGTGGGGGGACTCCCCTGCCTGGTAGCCTCTAAGCTTCTTAGTTCATCCATTTTCGACAATTCCAGGCTCCACAGTGGCAGGGGATCTTGTGCTGATCGTCCTCAAAGTCAAACTGATAGTCATAGGTCAGCTGGAAAGAGAAGAGGGTAGAATCGATGGCAGCCCCCCAGAGGGAGTGGGGGGCAGGCAGAGATCAGGTCTGACGGCAGTGGCCTTGGAACTTGGTTCTGGGGAAGTGAAGAGAAGCGGGAGCCGCTTTGTCACTCACACAGAACACTTCCTCTCACCTCCTCTCCTTTGGGGATTCGCCGGCTGGAGATGATGATGATTTTATCCTCCTTGTCAAACGTCACAACTTCCGCCACACAGTTAGGGGCACAGGAATGGTTAATGTACCTAAGCAGTGGGCCAGAGTCGGGGATGCCAGGCAACTGAGTCAGGAGGGTTTTGGTTCCTTCTTGGCCCACCCTGAGTGTCACCCCCAGGGACCCCTAAATTCCTCCTTCCTCATTCCTCTCTCACCTGGCAGGGCCTCCGGTCAACGTAGCATCAATCACATGTTCGTTGTTTATTCGGAACATGTAGATGCCTCGATTCTAGAAGGGAAGAAGTTGCAGAAGTGGGAAGAGTATCAGGGAATGGCAGCAGCGCTGGCGGTGGGATCAGGTAGCAGACTCGGGCAGCGGGCTTATCTTCATTTCCTGTTCTGCCTTTCTCTTGTGTCTCACCTCCTCCTCCTGCCCCAGCTTTCCACCTGCTCCCCTGACCCCAATTCAGCCCCTTGCTCCTCCGTGGAGAGGGCGGCCATAAACCAAGAAAGACAGCCCCTCTGCCAGCCCATACCTGCTCCTCATAGATTTTCTCCCGCCGGTTGGCCACCTCATTGCGAATGATGGTGCCAATATATTCGATGACCATTGTGTGCTTTTCTAGGTCCTTGGCAGCGTAGAGCCCCAGGCCCTGGATACGGGAGCGAGCCAGGTACACGTTGTTCTTCCACTCAGTGCGTAGGCGCCGGTACTGTGATGACTTGGAGTGCACAAACTGCTTGCTGTATGGGGTGTTGGTCTCGCCTGTGAAGGTGCTCTGATATGCCTTGGACATGCTGGTGCTGTTCAGGGTGTGAGGCCTGGGAGGTGACACAGGCCATGACAAGACAGCTCTCCCCCAGACCAAGCACACCCCACCCACCTCCTCCCTGGGATGTGCAACATGCCAGTTAGGGGCATGTGCTGTCTTGGAAATGGAGTGGAGGCGTGTGGGTCTTGGCTTTGGTGAGACAGCCACTAGTTGTGGGGACCCGTGCGACACCCTGAGTGGCACAGAGAGCCCAGGATGGGGGATGGGGGATGGAGGGGTGGGGGGCACCAATTCCCCTACACTGAGCCCGCTCTCCCATCTCCCTGCCTTATTCCACCCTCCTGCCAAACATTACACAAGGCCACGCTCCTCTGGGAGGTCTTCCCCAAGCAGCCCAGGCCTGGCATTTAAGCTCATCATTTGCTCAAACATCTGAGTTCTACCTCCTGCACATACTAGAAGCCCTGAAATTGGGGGCCGTGTCTACCACACTGGGCTGGATCTGAATTAAAAGTGGCTCTGAATTCACAGCCGAGAGGTGGTACCCTTTCCTTTCTTCAGACTGTCCCCTTCTCTGACATAATGTTGGGCTCTGTGCAGATGGCTCAGTGCAGGGGAATGACTGCTGCCTGGCAGGATGCCTCTTCACCACCCTAGGGCACCAGCCAAAATCTTGCCCATCCCAGAGCAGTGGTTTTCAAACGTTTTTGATTCTTTTTGATCTAGTAGAGATTTATTTTTTTTCCTTTTTACTTTAACAAAATGTTATTGGAATTCCAATACATAAACTAGATGAAAAGAGAATGCTTCCGGTTGAATCCAATTTGGGGAAGGGGGAGCTATGCACGGGGAGGGCCAAGTTCTGCTCACTCGGTTTATGTGTTCCAGGACTTTCTGAAACACACACAGTTTGAAAACCACTGTTGTAGAGTATCAAGGACTAGGGATGACTGGGGTAGTAGAGCCTGACGCTCTAGGCTAGCCCAAGGAGCAACAGAAGGCCTTTGAGAAAACCCTGCTACAAGGATTCTGCCTCCCTCTACCCAGGGACCAAAGTCAGGCTACTGTGGTACACAGAAAAAGCAGTGAACCACAAGTCGAGAGGTAAGGTTCTGGTCCCAGCTGTGTGACCTTTGTCTAGTCACTTAACCTTTCTGGGTCTCAGTTTTCTCAGCTGTAAAATGGGGGTCATACCACCTGCCCTACCTACCTCATAAGGTTGTTGTGAGGATCAAATGAGATAATGGATGTGAAAACGCTTTGAAAAAAAAAGTATAAAGTGCTATACAAATGTAAGGTTTTATTATTTTTCTATTATATTTCTAATTATTTTTGACACCAACTCAGCCTGGGGAAGGGAAGGTGACCCTAGCCTTTATGGGGTGTCTCAGGTTTGGGAGAATCACAGGCCCCCTGGAAGCAAAATAAGAGAGGAAGGAGGTGACTGGCTCCCTTATCTACTGCATAAAATTTCACCACTGTCTACCCAGAACCTCCCCAACAGCCATTCCCAGGGTGCCCAAGATTAAGTCTGTCCCAGACCCCAGGTCAACCCAGGACATCTGAGCAGCGTGGAGGAGGAGGAAAGGGATGACCTAAGTGATACCTGCACACCCTCTAATCAGGAAGCCTAGAGTGAATCCCCAAACCTTCATAATTGGCCAGAGGGCCCCTACCAACCCCCACTCCCACATCCCACGGCCCCCACCCCACAAGCTCACCGTTTGTAGTGTGTGAGGATTTTAGGCTCCGATCGGGCACAACCAGTGGGATTGATCATGAGTGGCAGCTCCATCAAGGGGTGGCGTCCATAGCGGAATAAATAGTTTTGACAGCTCTCCACTCCAGGCAGCTGTGGACACAGGTCGTGTGCTTCCCTTAGCCTGAGCGTTTTGGGGGCAGGACCAGAGTCCCCAGTGCCCACGTGGCCCCCGGCCCCCTCCTTACTGATTCAGCTATGCGCAGCACGGCGTGCACCGTAAGCCCAAAGAGCTCCTCGCCTTTCAGGTACTCGGGGAAGAGCCGCAGCATGTCGGCCTCTTTTCTCATGGCAGCCACAGGCTCAATGATGCGATTCCACACCGCTAAGAGGCAAGGAAAGAGAGCAGCCCTCAGAGGCAACTTCTGCTGACGGACCTCAGCCTAACCTCGATCGGGAGCGACAGTCCTTTTCTGTAGCCTGCACACCTCCCTGCCACGAGACTGTGTGGTTCTTCAGGACGCCCCGCTGGCCTCCCAGTCCCACTCTCCCTCAGCAAGCCAGTAGGCTTCCTACCCTGGAGGGGCACCAGAGAGCCCTAGGACACAGAGCCATGACCCCAGGGCCCAGGAGACCCAGCACAGGCCACAGTGCCTACCCGAGAGCCAGAACAATAGGCCTGCTTTGGAGTGGGGAAGACTTTTGAGTTCAGGTTCTAATACTGGCTATGGGCCCTTACACCAAATACTTAAATCTCTCCAAAGCTCTGTTTCTTTATGTATACACTGGGCAAAATGAAAGTACTTACCTCACAGGGTGGCCATAAACAAAATAGCCTACGTCAATCACTTACTTTAGTTCGTGGCACACGGAACTTGCTCACTTATTTCTATCGTTAATGCTAAAGCTCAGAGCAAAAGAGTTCTGACCAGAGAAAAGCAATCGTAAGGAACTCATGGTTAGGAACAGGGTGAGCCAGGCCAGATGATGCGGTCTCAGAACCGTATTCTTTAGTCCGGCTGAGGATAGGAAAAGGAGCCAGCACACGTGAAGGAGACAAGCAGAAGGTCTTCAGCCACGGGGGCGGGGGGGGGGGTGCGTGAGGTGGCTGAGAGAGGCTAAAGCACTGCCTCAGGGGATCTCTAAAAGACTTCCACTGGCCCGAAGCCAGGGCAGGAAGATCTCGTGCGAAGACCCCGCAGATCCCTTCCACTTCCACACGAGCGTTTCGAGGGCCCCGTGCTCACCCTGGGGGGAGGCGTCGGCGAAGACCAGGTCCTCCAGGCCCTGCTCCATGACTTTGATGATGAACTCGGGCCTCCCGTTGTTCTCGCCGATGGAGCAGCGGTAGCAGCAGCGGCGGTTGTTGGTGCGGAGGCTCCAGTAGATGCGCGTGGCCTCGTAGCCCACGGGATAGAGGGCAGTGGCGCTATGGAAGTCAGCCATCTGATGAGGCAGCAGCTGTCCGATGGCGTGGAACACAAGGCCCCCCACGCGGAACATGTGCAGCCGCTCTCCCCGCTGGATGATGCTGGCGATTTGCTTCACCTCATCCCGCTCGATGTAGACGCGCCGGAAGACAGCAAAAGAGCTCAGCTCCTGCTCACAGGGCCCCTTGATCTTATGCATTGGACACAGCATGGTCTTGTCCTTGAAGAACATGCACTTGGCGCGGATGGCGCAGGCAAAATGGTAGACACTGGGGCACCGCATTCGATTGCAGCTGCTGGTGGCACCGGTGCGCTGGCACAGGGAGCACTTGGTTAGCAGTCCTCGGTGCAGGGCCACCTCCACGTTCATCAGCGCCCCGCCCTGAGTCTCGTAGACCTCCGTGGACCACAGGGCACAGTTGAGGTGCACCCACAGGTCCAGGTCCAGGTTCAGCAGGCGGGCAGGCCCATCAGTGGCCCCATCACCCTCCTCGTGACAGAAGCAGCAGCGCCGCATGTCACGAGGCACCTTGTCAGGTCGCAGGGCCGTGCCAAGCTGTTCCATAAACTCCGCCACTTCCCGCTCATCCTCCTGCCGCCCGCTGCCCTTCTGGATGGTCAGCAGCAGCCGCAGCCGCTTCCAGCGCACCCCCTTCCACTTCTTGAGGCGAGGGGGCCGGGAATCTTCACCTTCTTCAGGGGGCCGGGCTCGGGGCTTGGGTCGGGCCGATTCAGGGGATGAGGCCAGTGGCAGGGGCGATGGGACCGGTGGCTCAGCTGAGGGTTCAGCCGGGAGTTCAACCAGGGGCTCGGCAGGGGGGCTGGCAGGAGAGGGTGCCAAGGGGGACGGGGGCGGGGAGGGCTCTTCAGGAGGCGGGGCGGAGAGCTGTCGCACATCCAGATTGGAGACGTTGTAGGTGTAGCTGTGTTGGGTGGGTGGCTCTGGGGCGGGGCTCTCCTAGGGGAGGGCACAGCCCGGTATCATCAGCGCCAGCTCCGCACTTAATGAGCCCCCTCCCTCCTCTCACCCAGATTCCACTCTCCCAAAAGCCCTCTGCCTTCTTTGCCCTAGCCAGACACCCACCGTCTTTTCTCCCCCAGACCCACCTGTTTCAGGAGGCTCAAGATGTCTAGCTGGCTCTTGAGGGTATAGCCGGGCAATACTGCATCAAACTGCTTCAGCCAATCAGGGCCAGCTTCTGGGCTCTTGCCTCCCAGACCCTTTTCTTTCCCTCCTGCAAGAAGGAAGGGGTCAGAACCTCCCACCAGAATCCCTCCCTGCAGGTCCCGAGGAGATTTCCCGCCACACTCACCAGGGCCCTCAGCTTCCCCCTTCTTAGGTTCAATGCCCGCCCGGGCAGGGCTCTCTGGAAACAGCACCTCATAGGAGTTGGGGATCTTCATGCTTAGCAGCTCTGCCACTGCCACCATCACACCATTCAGGTTCTGCCAGGGCAGGGAAGGGGATGGGAGGACCGTGTCGGCAGTGTGGAGTGGGCACCGCCACCAGCTTGGTGGGGACAGAACACCTGGAACCCCGCTCCCCAAGCGGCCGGTCAGTCCTGCCCTTCTCACACGCTTCCTTCACAGCACCTCTCCCAGAATGCTGCGGTTGTTAATGGGCGCTCCACAAAGAGGGACCCGTGCCCACCAAGTTTAGGAATGACACACGCTATATGCACCACTTGGAGACTCACGACATACATTAGCAAATTAAAGAATCTGAGGAGTCCTGTAGTAAAGAAACTTGTTTTGTGGTTTCAACCGAGACTTCCAATTTTCTTTGACCACAAAACCCTGTCAACATTAAAAAATAAGAGTTCCACCAAACGTGACTGGGGACGTGCTGCCTTGCAGCATTCGTCGCATTATGTGTGCTCTCCTAATTTGCTGACTTGCGTCTCTCACTGGACTGTGAGCCCCCTGTGCTTTATTTACCCTGATCTTGCAGCCTTCAGCCCAGGCATTCACACACAGTAGGTCCTCGTACATAGTTCTGAGTGGTTGAATTCATCCACACAAGCTCCAGGGACTGCCTTCTGACCAGGATCCCTCTGGCCTCCAAGGAACCCCCAGGACATACCTTGGCCGCAGCGGCAGAGACTGTCAGCATGACTGACACCTCACTTCCTTTGCCCTTTTCCCAAGCTGTGGCAGGCAGCTTTCCAGGGGCCTCCAGGTCCAGGGCCCCGTAAGGTTTGGTATCTGGGAAGACTGAATGAGAGAGGGACCTGTGTAAGCTCCAGCTGCCCTCTCCCCCAGCCTCGGACAAGCCAGCCCTGCCTGGCCCATGCCCAGAGCAGCCTCTACCTGGGATACTGGCCCGAGGAATGATGGGGATGACAGGGGAGAGAGCCCGGTCTTCCTGCTCCCACCGGCCTGAGCCCAGCTGAGGGAAACGAGGGGCCTCCTCCCCCAGGATGCTTTCGGGGGACGAAGCTGGCACAATGCTATCAGGAGAATCGCTGTCCTCATCGCTTTCCATCCTACGGGCCAAAAGTAGACATTTGTTGGTACAGCCCTGCAGACTCCCCCAAGTAGACATTTGTTGGTACAGCGCGGCAGACTCCCCCTCCCAAATCTAGAAATTAATAGATGTCATAGCTTTACGTGGCACCTGCCATTGGCTGAAGGGAAAAATGAGGCAACCTGCCCCCCACCCCATTCCTTAGCCCATTTCCAGCCCCACCCCCCACCTGACATCCTCAGTCTGATTGTGAGGGGGTGTAGGCAAGGCAGCCAGCAGGTCTAGACTCTTCACCTCTGAAGCATCTGAAGGGTAGGAAGGGAGAAAAAAAGTCAGGCTGGTGGCCAGAGCTCACAGGGCTGTCTCCCCCAGATTTCAGGCCTAACTAGTACAAGACCTAGCTTAGCTCTCATGACCGCTGTTGTCTACACACCCACCTACCTATAAGTCTGGGGCAGATGAGCTGCGTCTGTCGAGCCTTTCCTATGTGCCAGGCACTGGGCTCTGTTTATCAAGTCTTAACAACTCCAGCAGAAGAATATTCTAACATCTATTTTCAGTGAGGAAACTGGGGTCCACCCAAGTCAATCATGTTACTTAGCTGTGATAACACAGCTGAATGCATACAGGAACCAGAGAGTTCAAATCCAGATTTGACTGGAGTTCTATACCCACTAAAGTACTGTAGGCTGTGCCTCATAAACAAAGGCCTCATCAACACTCTTTCCTACCACCACCTCCTCTGTCGCCTATGCTCTGGACTCCTTGCTTCCAACAAATCAGCCCTAAAGAGGCCCTTCCCTAGCTCAGCTACCCCGTTCACGTGTGCACACGGGACCACAAGTGATCACTCCTGTCTCAAACCGTATGAGAGGGCACATTGACCGACCTGGACCCCAGCCACCAAATCCCACCAGAGAACGAGAGGCCCATGCTGCTCCTGCCTTACCCCTCAGTGTCCCTTCAGTATCCCGGGCAGAGGCAGCATCCTTGGGGTGTTCCCCCAGCTCTTCAGATGGAGTGACACCATTCACCATCTTCTGCTGCACCGATGGGGGTGGGGTGGGGGGCAGCGACGAGGGTGGTGTCGGCGGGTTACTCAGGTTATTCTGGGGGTGGGGTGGGGTGTTGTGTGCAAGATGGCAGAGGGAGAATGACGTAATCTCCTGGCCCCACACGACATCAGCAATCTCCTCAGCTTCCACTCCCACCTCCACCTCCCCAAGAACCTCGTCATCCCCAAAAGGTATTGCCGTTTTTCTGACCTTGGTAAGCAGCTGGGAATAGTAGTCAGGGCCAGTGGGCAGTGCCCCACTTCCAAAGGCCCCCCTCAGCTGGCACTGCCCATTGACCGGGCAGCCACTGCCGAAGGGAGCAAAGAGGCTAAAATTGGCGGTGATGGTAGGCTCCGTTAGGGGCAGCAGGGACAGCTCCTAGGAGGGGCAAAGTGACAAGGTTGGAAACCTACAGCATGAACATCTCTGCCACTGCACAGCTGGGGGCCAGCGTGCCCCCTTATCCTGGGATGGGACCAGGGGGCTGGCTCCTGGGGGTCACCTGTTTCAGCTGTTTCAGCAAGGCCTCGCTGGCCCTGACCCCGTCCTCCTTCCGCAGCTTCTTTCGGGAGCTCACCAACCTGTCGCTTGCCTTCTGCACCCGCTTGGGCTTCGCTGTCACAGGCTTCCTTGCTGCTGTATCCTAAGCCGGATAAACCCACAGTGAAGGCTGCGGTCTTCCTCAGAGCCCTCACCTCTTCTGTGTGAACCAGACCTGCTCACGTTGCCCCGGGTTGCAGTCCCCACTCTATCTGCTCCAATCTATCTAGAGCACTCACCTCCTTGCTGCTGTGGGTACCCTGTAGTTTCTGCTCCAGCCCAGCCAGCTTGCTGTCAATGTGCCCGTTGATCTCAGCTCGCAGCCCCTCGGGCCCCCGCCCAGTGCTGAGTTGCACATTCTTTGCCCGTAGAAGCTTCTGCAAGAGCAGATGCCCGGCCTCTGAGCGGGTGCCTGCCAGCAGGAGGTGGTTGCTGGTACCTGGTGCCCCTATTGGCTCCCCGTTGGCCTCCCTCTTCACTGCCTGGGCTCCCAGGGCACATGGCTCCTCCCGAGGCTCCTGCTTGATGCTGAGATGGGGTGGCTCAGGCACTGCCTGCCCGTTCACCTGCTCCAGATGTCCAGGTGCCAGGCTGCTCTGCTCTGGCTTCTGGGCTTCTACTAGGTTGTCTGGGGGGTCCCAAGGTCCCAGCCCCTTGCCAAAGAAGGTATCCGCAAGCTGGGCAGCAGCAGGTGAGACCCTCCCAGGAGGCAGCTCCAAGGATGGCCCCTGGGGTTTTGGGGTCCCTGGCTGGGTAGGGGGGAGCTGGGCCTCAGAGGGGAGCTGGGATGGGACGAGGGGGCTGGCTCCGGGGGGCTGTGAGGAAGGTCTCTTTGGCTCTTGGGGGCTGGATGGTGGAGGTGTGGGATGGACAGGGCCGAGGACCGGTCCTGCGGCTAAGGCTCCTTGTGGGGCGGGGAGCCGGGGTGGGCCCTGAGGTCGAAGCCCCGCCCCTAGCTCCTGGAGGGGGCCAGTCTGGGATCCAGGGAAGCCCCCAAGCTGGGGCTGGCGGCCCAGGAGGCCCTGGAGGGGAGAGGGCTGGGCCCCGGGCTCCTGGTAGGGGGGTGCCTGGCGCACTGCCGGACTCTGCTGCAGCTGCCGTTGCATGAGGAGCGCCTGTAGCTGCTGCTGCTGCTGCGGGCTCAAGTGCCGCAGCTGGGGGTTTTTGGCTAGGACTCCTTGGAGCTGCGCTCGAAGCTGACCCACCGTTGGCATGACTCCAGGCCCGGGCAGGCCCGGACCAGACTGGGGGACAGATCCTGCTTTGGCAGGCTGTGGCCCTGCGTTATTTTGCACCGGCCGCTCTAGTCCAAGGGGTTGTTGGGAGCCCAGAAGGTTCTGGGTCATGGTCCCAGGCTGCTCCCCTAAAGGAACAGAGGACTGGGCCAGCAGGTGAGGCATGGCTGAGGCCTCTGAGGATGAGCCGCTGCCCGCCTGCCCATGGCTTCCCACACCTGCCGTGTGGAGCAAGTTAACTTGCTGCTGCTGGGGCCCTGGGAGCCTCAGAGACGGCTGTAGCTGCGCAGGGCTGGGCTGCGGCTGGGCCTGCGGCTGGACAAGCAGGAGCTGCGAGTCCCCAGAGAGCGAGGGCTTCACCTCCCCAGGCTCGGTGGCCGCCGACTCGGGAACAGCCCCTAGGGCTAGCGGCGCCCCCTGATGTGTGGATGGCCCCTCCGTGGCCTCTGGAGGAACAGCCGTCTCTACCATGCTCTGCTCCTTGCCCGTCAGGACGGCGGCACCCAGGGCTCCAGGGCTAGAAAAGTGTTGCGCAGCCTTGGCCGGCATGCCCGGGCCGAGGGGCCCCTGCGGCTGCGGCTGTGGCTGCGGCTGCTGTGGCGGAGACAGTAAAGTTCGACTCTGGTTCAAGAGGCCCATCTGCTGCTGTGACTGCGGCTGCGGCTGCTGCTGAAATTGCTGCTGCTGAAATTGCTGCTGTTGCTGGAGCTGCTGCTGCTGAAACTGTTGCTGCTGCTGCTGCTGCTGCTGCTGCTGCTGCTGCTGGAGCTGCTGCTGCTGCTGCTGCTGGAGTTGCTGCTGCTGCTGCTGCTGCTGCTGCTGCTGCTGCTGCTGGAGCTGCTGCTGCTGCTGCAAGGCGGCCATGGGCTGAGTGCTGAGTTTGGGCTGCCCAGCATGCGGCATCAGGCCCTGCTGCAGATGGGAAAGGCCCGCCATGGATCCCTGCTGTTGGTGTTGGTGCTGCTGCTGCTGGGCCGTGACCAGCCGGTGTCCCATAAGGCCCTGAGCCTGCTGCGCCAGCTGGGGGGAACTCAGCACCCGGGACTGGGTCAGAAGCACCTGTCTGTGAGGACCCTGGGGGCCCAAAGCTCCAGGGTGCTGCTGCTGCTGCTGCAACACTGCCACCTGGGCAGGGCCCAGCATGCCCTGGGGCCCCTGGGGTGGTTGCGGGGACAGCTGCTGGACCAAGAGGCCCGGATGGCTGCTGGGAGGCAGAAGTCCCTGGGGCTTGGGACCCAGAGCCTGGTTTGCCTGTACGCCCAGGCTCTGCTGCTGTTGCTGCTGGACTGCCACCTGTCCCAGGAGGTGCTGCTGCTGCTGCTGCTGCTGCTGCTGCTGCAGTTTCTGGGCTAGCTGCATGCGCTGCTGCTGGAGCTGCAGCTGCCTTTCCTGTAGAAGTCTCGAATCGGGTCCTAGGCCTCGAAGAGCAAGGTTGCCGGGGAAAAAGCCCCCCGAGGGGCCAGCCAAGGCCCCAGCCCCACCAGAATGTTGCTGTTGCTGCTGCTGGGCCAGGGAGGTGTTGAGGAAAGGGCCACCAGGCTGTCCAGGGAGTGTCATGCCCCCTGGGGGCAGGCGAAGACCTGCAGCTTGCCCACCCGGAGGCCCCTGTGGTGGCTGCAGCCCATGGCCCGGGAGCAGCTGACCAGGGAGCTTGGTGAGGAGCCGGGGACTCTGGGATGGGCTAAGGGCCAACACGGCCGAGTGCTGCTGCTGCTGCTGCTGCTGCTGCTTATTCCGATACTCTGCCATGAGGTTAGTGTGCTCCTTCTGCTGCTTCCGGACCTAACACAGGAGAGTCGGGACGTCAGCCTGGAGCCTGCCCACCCATGCTCTCCCTCTTCTCGGGCTCCTGCTTGCCAGGCTGAAGTCTGCTTTCCCTACCTGATCCAGTTGTTTCTGGATCTTGCTCTGCTGCTCTGTAACCAGCTTGAGCTTCTCAGCATCAGCCTCCGGGAACTCACGGCCAGCCTTTTTGGCAGTGCGCTGCTTGGCACACAGAGCCTTCCGGGACTTGCGGTGCACGCCAATCTGCTCCTCTAGCACCTTCAGCTGCATCTGCAGGAGCTGCTGGGTATGAAACAGCCACTCTTCATACTGCCGCTGGTCAGCCTCATCTGAGAAAGGAAACAGGGTGTCAGGACCCGCAAAAGGGAGATCGGAATCCCTCTTCCTCCACCATCTGCCCCAAGCCACTCCCTTGCACACTCCTCCCCAGCCCCATACTCACTGATCACTCCCTGGGCAAAGGTGGGTGGATTGGGACGAGGCTGGGAGGGGTCACCAGCACTCCGTTCCTGTGGTGAGAGAGACCGCTAAAGGGTCATTGTTGCAAATCAGGCCCTAAGAAGAGTGGCCCGACTGTAGAGAACACAAGTTCCTACTCCCACTTGACCACTTACCTGGCCACTCCCAGCTGCCACGTGGTTCTGTAGATCACTGCCGGGCCCCCCCGAGAGTCTCTGGGCTAGCAGGGACACTTGCTGCCTGGAGTCCGCCAAAACAAAGGGAACGTGTAGGTCATGGGGAAAGGTGAAAGACAAAGAGGTGGGACAAGTAGGGACGGGGACCAGGAAGGCGAGGGGAAGGACTGGGAGAGGAAAAGAGCCAACCACCCCCTCCCACCCCCCGAGTCTTACCTGTTCATACCAGGTGCCACTCCAATGCTGCCCTGAGCCATCACCTTCTTGATGCCTTTCAAAGCCACCATCTTGGCCTTCGCAATGGGATCGATGATATCTTCCGCCGCAAATTTGTCCAGATCTGGAGAGAGGAGAGCCGAATAAGCTGGACATTGGATTCAATACTCCACTCTGTGTCTGCTGTGCCTTCCAACACCTTGACCTCCACCGAACCAAGCAGAACAACGGAATGGCAAAAAAGTGATGGAAGGACCACTAACTAGGAGCCAGGCAGCACGGGTGACTCAGCTTTACTATTCACAAGACATGTGGCCCTGTTTTCACCTGCAAGGTGCTAAGGAGAGCCACTTCGTAGATATCTGTGGGGCCAACATATCAATGTCATTTGACTTCTCTGAGCCTCAGTTTCCTCCTCTGACAGAGCTCATGATTCCCTACTCCACCTATCTCATGGAACTACTGAATCAAATGTGACAAAGACTGTGAATGCACTCTATGAACCTAGAAAACATTCTTCAAAGAAAGTATTCTGTAGGGCAACTAGTGCAGCCCAAGAACCCAAGATATGGGCACTGTGCCAAAGTCCTAGATGCCAGAGCTGTTTTGGGCACGAGATGCATCACCTACAGCCTACTTTCTTGCCTGTTCAGGATGCTGGGTAAAAAAGGAGAAATAAGCAACCACCCAAAACTTCTTATCTTCCTAAAATCCTGCCCACTGTGTATTTCTCCACTGCTCCCAAAACTAACTAAAGGACTAACCAAACTCCCTCTCCTCGTATTTTGAGGCAATAAGAAACAGGTAACAGGGTCAGAGGACCACGACTTAAAACTCTAGCTCTGTCAGTTGTATGATCCGGATCTGGAGAAAATACTTAACCTCCACACCTGCTTCCCTTTCTATAACTGAAGACAATGGCAATACCTATTTAACGAGTTTGTTGTGAATCAATCAGACGATGGGCGTAAAGTGCTTGGCACAGTGCTTACTGAGCAAATAGCAATTCAATAAATGCGAGTGTGATCTGAGATCTTCCTCAATCTGGCCCCCCTTTTTACGTCTCCAAAATTAGCATAGTGCCCACTCACCTCCCTCCACACAGAGTCCACTGCAGCCTAACCACTCCACTGCCGTCTCCAAACGTCCCCGCTGGCTCCCCACCAGCAGTCTCGCTCAAGTGCTCGCACCTACCCGACTGCTTTGTCCTGCACCACTTCTCTCCAGCTCCTCACCTTCCGGTCTCGCCACGGCTACAAAGCCTTTGCTAATCAGGCTTCGTGCATTCCTTCCACTCATTCCAACATCTGAATGCCTGCTCCACGCCAGGCGCTGTTCCTCCCTCTGCAAAAGCTACAACACCTCTGCCTGCCCCGCTCCTGCGGCATTTCACCCATGCTCTGTGTGCCGCACTTCCCTTGGCGGAGGATTAGCTTAGGTCTCTAGCTCCAGTGTCCAACTGGAGGTGGCAGTGATCACCCCTGAGTAACGAAGTTACCTGTGTCCGGGAAGAAGCTGTTAGCCAGCTGCTGCTGCATAGCCAGCTGCTGAGGTTTCATGCACATGGAAGGGGGCATGGTACCCATGGGCTTCTGTGCCAGCGCCGGCTGTGAGCTCTGCTGGGGCCCCAAGCCTGCCTGCCCCCCGTGCTGCCCACTTAGCATATGCCCCTGATTGGACACCATGGCCATGGATGGGGCCAGGCGCTGCGGCAGGGCATGTGCTGGTGGCTGGGTGGGCATCAGGGGCTGGGCCAAGCCTGGCTGTCGGGACCCTCCAAGTCCTAGGGCAAGCTGCTGTTGGGGCCCAGCCAAACTGGGAGAAGAGCCCTCGTGCGGCAAAGACATGGTCTGGGCAGGGCCTGGTGTGGACAGCAAGGAATGTTGCTGCTGTTGCTGCTGAGCAGGCTGCAGCTGTGCCGAAAGCTGCTGCTTCTTCTGCAGCTCCTTCTTCTCATGCTCCAGCAGGTCCTCGATGAGCAAGGGTAACTCACTGGCTACCAGCGAGCTCTCCATCTTGTCCAGCTCATCCCCGGATGCGGCATGGCCACTGGGCAAGGTCAAGGCCTCACTCTCTAGCTCAAACTTTTCCAGCAGGGAGGACCCTCCTGGGCCACTCAGCGGGCTGGGGGTCAGCAGGTGAGCTGGTGGGCCTCCCGTGGCCCCAAAAGGGCCCTTCTCAGTTGTGTGCCCACTGCTGGAAAAGGGTCCCGTGCCCATCCGGGTGTCCCGGCTGCCCATCACGCTCTGTCCTGGCTTCAGCCCCAGGCCTAGGGAAGTGGTGGCAGGTGCTGGTTCTACCTTGGGGGTGGTAATGGCGAACTGGCAAGGGGAAGGGTGGCGCCCACCTTCCTCCACCTTGGGCTTCACCTCAGGAAGCACCGATGCCAGACGGGGCTCAGACGCATCAGCAGCAGGGGGAGGGCGTTCCTCAGGGCCCAAGGGTACTGGCTCCACCCCCCGCAGCAGGGCCTCCCGCTCAGCCTTCTCATTGGCCGACTCCACCAGCCTTAGGTGCTCATTGAAGATGTCCTTCTTGTCCCCAGTGTCCAGCTCAGGATCAGTATAGGCCAGCAGGTCAAACTCATCCCCGTTGAGCAGGTCATCCAGGTGGGGGTCATTGGTCTCCAGGTTTTCCAAGGTGCCCAGCTCATCATCTCCCTTGGCCACATCCACACCCAGACCCAGGTGAGCAAGCTCCTCATCATCCTCTAGGGCCTTGTGGGCATCAAAGTCATCGTCCAGCTCGGGATCCTCGCAGGGTAACTTCCCAGCTTCCAGGGCCAGAGGAGGGGGGCGGCCAAGCTCAGTGCCTGAGGGGGGCCGGCTAACCAGCTCCAAGCCAGTGGGCAGGGAGGGACCTTTGGTGTGGGGCATTGGATGGAGACTGTTGTTCAGTTCAGGGGCCGGGGGCGCTGAGGGTTTCTGCGGGGGGAGGCCAGATACTGCTAGGCCTCGAAGCCCTTCAGGAGCCATTCGGTGGGAGTCCTCACTTACTGGGTAAAACCGGGGCCTCTGAGGGGGGCCCTGACCAGGAAACGGAGCCCCCCCAGGTCCTAGTCCTTTCTGTACATTGTGCCGCAACTCAATGAACTGGGCAGGACCAGATGGACCAGGCACTGGCTCCCCGGGGCCAGGCAGGCGGGTGGGAATTCCCGCCAAGGGGGAACCTAGGGCTTGGCGGCCAAGTTCGGGCCCGGGAGTTGATGGGAAGCGGGTAGACATGGCAAGTCGCACGGAGGTCGCTGCTGTGGCCGCCGCCTGCTGCTGCTGCTGCCACAGCTGCTGCTGCTGCTGCTGTAAGGGCAGGGAGCCGGGGTAGGGTGCCCGCTGATAGAAGGCTTGGGAGCCTCCCACCAGTTGCCTGCAAGAACACGCAGTGGTCAGTATGACGAAACCAGGGCCAAGAGCTAGAACACGGGCTTAGGGCAGCGGGGAAGGATGGAGGTGCCGCAGGGACCTCTCCCCGGAGGGAACAGGGAGAAAGAGTAAGTGGACACCGGACAAGGGTCGGCCACGGGGACACCAGGGGCAGCACACGGCGGTGGTGAGGTCTGTTCCCTCGCTTTACCCCGAGGGAACCCCTGGGAGCCTCACCGGTTGTTCACATCCATAGAAGAAGGGGTGGCTGGTGGAGGTGGCCGGGAGAGTCGGTCGTCACCGGGGAAAGCCCCCGGGCCCACAATGGGGCCACCCAACTTGCTTGGGGGCAGCCCCACAAGGTTACTCTTGTCCTAGCAGAGACAGAGGTAGATGAGGGCAGGCCACCGTCAGTACCTCAGGGCCCCCCCCCACACTCCTTGCCACTCTACCTACCTGGGTCCCGGCGAAGGGGGCCTGGCCTCGACTCAGCTGCTCAAAGGCAGGGCTGCTGGGCTCAGCACCCCAGCTGCCTGTGGGCCCCACCGCTCCTGCAGCTGCCGCAGCTGTCTCCTTCTCCTGCCGCAGGGTGTTGCGCTGGATCTGCTGCCGAATCAGCAGCTCCCGGAGTCGCTGGCGCTGCGCAGAGAACAGACAAGTGGGCTAAGTCCATTCTCCTCCAATCACAGGGCTGGCACAGGGACAGCAGAGGTATGCGGGGGTTTGCTCCAGAATGTCCACCCACCTGCCGCTGCTTCTCCAGTTCTGTTTGGCTGAGGCTGGACATGCCTGGGTCCTGGGTACCTGGAAGTTCGGGTGCCGCCAAAGAGCCGCCCATTCCAGCCCCTGGGTCTTCTCGCTTATCAACTGGAGAGGTGATGCCTGCCCTCTGTGAGGCTCCATGGGACAGGTAGGGGAGGGATCCATCGGGTGCAGGTGGTGGTAGGACTGATGGGGGACGTAGCGGGGACAGCCCAAAGCCCTCTCCTGTGGGCCCACTGCTGGATCCCAGGGGGCTGCCCGATGGGTGGAAGTTCCCTGTGGCTACTGCGTAGTTTGTGCTTTGAGGCTTGCCCAAGGTAGGGCCGGGCCCAAAATGGCTGTTGATCCCATGGGGTGGAGGGAGAGCAGGCTGAGGGACGGGGGGCTTTAGGGAAGGCTCCCCTACCGCCTGAGGGAAAGTGAAACGCATGGGAGAGGGGGTACCCACAAAAGCACCCGTCCCAGGGGACCGGGCGAAATTGGGCGGCTGCCCACTTGGGACCTTAGCATGGAGCTCACCTGCCGGCCCTGAGGGCAGGGCTGCTGGGAAGCCCCCAGCCCCCAGAGGAGTGTGGGCTAGAGGCCCAGCCTTGAAGGCAACTTCAGGGGGCTGGGGTCGGGGTGGCTTATGCAAGGGGGCAAATGGGTCACGGGACTGAGGGCGTGAGGGTGGACGGGAATAGGGATCAGGGGACTGGAAGCGAGGGGTAACAGGAGATGGGCAAAAAGCCTCGGCAGACAAAGGACGGGGGGTTAATGGGGACTGGGAGCTGGACTGGGACTGGGGACTGGCGGGCACTCGGGAGAAAGGGTCTGAGGGCAACGAGCGGGGGGGCGGGGCACAGCAGCTCTCAGGGGGTGGGGGCTGGGGCCGAGGGGTCAATGGGGGCTGGGCATAGGGGTCAGGGTAGGGGCCAGGGCGAAAGATGTCCGAGTGGCCGGGGGAAGAAGGGGCCAAAGCCTGGGCAGGGGGTGGCTCCTGGGGCCTTAGGCCCAAGCCCGGGCTCTGGGGCTCTACCTGAGATGCCCGAGGGGTGAGAGGGGCTTTGAAGACATCAGGTGCCTTTAACTCCAGGCTGCCCAGGTGAGGGCCTGAGGAAGGTGAGTCAACAAAACCTAGGTTTGGGGGCCCATAGCTAGGAGAGGATGCCCCGAGCTCTTCCTTCTTCACCTCTAGGGCCTTCCGAGACTCCCCAAAAGGCGGGGGCGACAGCAGGGGCTCGGCAGCCTTGCCTCCCCCTATCCCTGGGCTCTCAGGCACAGCCAGGTTGTCCAGTGAGGGGCAGCGAGGTTTGAGAAAGGGGTCAGGTGTGGAGGGCTGGTGTCGGGGGGTGCCAGGTGGGGTAGTGTGGAATTCCCCTGGCTGGCCAGTCCCAGGACGAGATGAGGCGCCCAGCGTCAGGGGCTGCGTGGGGGCCCCAGTTGGACTAGGATAGGGAGGGTAGGTGGGTGGTGCCGTGGGGAAGCGGGGCTCCAGAGCGTAGGCGGGGGCCAGTCCAAAGGGGTCCTGCGAAGGCACTTGGGCGGGCACCTGGGGTGGGAGCTTGAGGAAGAGCTCACCGGGCGAGTCGGGGCCGGGCACTGTGCCCGCCGGCGGCTTCAGGAACCCATCCGCAGAGGTAGACAAGCCGGCGGGGGTTGTGGGGCTGCCAATGAAAATGGTGGGGGCAGCAGCGGGAGGCGGACTGCCCAGTGCCCCTGGCTGGGGGGGAATGCGGAGATGTAGGGCCGGTCGGTCAGTCTTACGGGCCATGTCGCCCACCTTGGTCTGCTTGTTGATCTGGCTCTCAGCCTGCTACAGAGGGAGACCAGGCACAGAGCAGTCAGGCTGCTGTGGCAGGCCCTATGTCCCCCATACTCTCCGAGAGGCCCCCAGCTATAGGACTTGGATGGCACGGCCCAGCCTGGCCCCGACTCACCTTTTGCACCTTGTTGATGCGGTGAGCCGCGCGGTTATCTTTGGCCTTTTGCTGAGGGATACAGGACACAGCCTTAGGCCTACTACGGCTCAGTTTCATCCCCAGCCCCCATCCCTCACATCACTCACTCCCTACCCAGAAGCGGATCCCTTCTGGCCCAGTCGCTTTGGGAGTGGGGAATGGAAAGAATTGAGGTGAATTTCCCAAAGACACCCCCGAGCCCCGGTTCCCACCCTGACCCAGGCTCCCTTCTGTCTCACCAGGTAGGGGGCTTTGTCAGCAGCTGGAACTTTTCTCCAGAGCTTCATGATTTGTTTGCAACGGCTAGACCAGTCTGGAGGCAGAAGAGGTATTTCGTTAGAGGAGACTTGGAAGGTGACCCTTGTGCCCACCACATCACCAGGTTGTTTCCCTTGCCCCCATCCCATGGGTACCTGGGTAATCCTGCTTGAGATTAGGAAAGTTAATGTTGGCATAGAGCACAGGCGAGATGGTGGAGAGCTGGCCCAACTCCTCATCCTTCTCCCAGCGCTGAAGGCTCCGCTGGTTATAGGAGAGCCCGTCGCCCTCACCCTCCGTGGTGGGGGTGGTGGGGGTGGAGGGCGTGGTGCCCCCTGAGCCTGTCCAGGGGCTGTCTGGCTCACCGGGTTCCGGGCTAAAGAAGCCCCCGCGCTCCCTGGGGCGCAGGGGCAGAGAGTCACAGAGGGCAGGGATGCCAAGCCCCACCCCCAGACAAACTGCCTAGAGCCCCCAGGCCACTGCCCTGCCCCCTCAAGGAGGGTCACTAACTAAGGAGCAGAGGGAAGTGTTGCTACAGCAGCACCCAGGAGTCAGGGACTGCCCACAGGGGTTAAGCACAGATACCAACCTAGAATCCAGGAACGGGGACTGGCAGAGGCCCGGGTAGGAGTCCATTGGGCTGCTGGAGGGGAGATTGCCCAAAGGGAGTCCACCTACAAGAGGCACAGGATCAGAGAAAGGGAGCAAGAGGCCCGTCCTGGGGCCAGCTTAGCCAAACCTGGCCACCCAGTCTTCACGCCACTCCCATCCACATCACCTTGAAGAAAGGGCCTCTGCAGCGGTGTCCGGCTGCCGTCTGGGCCAGGGGTCCCACAACCCAGGTGCTGCTCTCGTTCAGAACCCAGAACATCCTTGAAGAGCTGCTGTAGGTCCTTGGATTCCATCTTGGGCAGTTCTGTGGGGGGATTGATGAAGGATGCCGCTGAGGAAGACTGGGAATTTGAGGGGACACCACAGGGCTACAAATGGCCACGGTCAGGGAAGGTGACCAGGACTCCCCAGCAAAGAAGTTGTGCAGATGGCAGTCCCACGGGTAGGACCTTGTCCTTCTCCCACAGAGGACCTCCACACACTAAGAGTGTGAGCCACAGCCTCACCTTCGGTGGGAATCCTATCTAAGTCAGAGCTAAGCATCCCTTCACCCGGAGTGCCTGGCTTCTCGGGGTCACTGGGCACTGGGGACGCCTTGACGCCACCATCTTCAGGCCCTGCAATTGCCAGAAGAAACCCATCAGCCAAGGACAGTGTAGAGGCACCAGCCTGGCCACCCTGAACCATAGGGGGCATGACACAGTCTCCAGCCTCCAGCCCAGATGGTGCTCAGGGGTAAAACATGTTGACAGAGGCCAATCCAAGACAGGACACAGTCCTCCCAGCAGCTCTTACCTGGTGTATCAGCCTTGCCCTCAGGGCCACGGGATTCTTCATCTGCAACATCTGGACAATCATCTCCTGTGAGCAATAGTCCCCACTCCAGTCAGAGACGCCCGGCACCTGATGCCCAGAATGGGTCCCCAGCTCCAAAGGCTGGGGCCGTACCCACCCCCAATTCCAGGAGACGAGCCCATTCCCTACTATATTCCCTCACCAGCTCCTAACCACAGGGAAGTTGGATCCCTTCAGACCACCTCACCCCGAAATGACTGACCTTTCTGTGAGGTGGGGAGCTCCTTCCTATCTGAGCCTCCATCCCCCTTGGCTTTGGGGGTTCCTAGTCCAAAACTTGGCCGGCCCACCCCAACTGCAAAAAGGGCCTTCCGGCTCAGGTCCAGCAGCTCCTTCCCAAAGAAGGCTTCCTGCAGGAGAAATAAGAGAAACAAGCTTCTTCATGGTCTGCAGGGCAGGTGCTCCCCTCACCCCACAGAGCCTAAGACCCACCTGCAGATAAGCAGGGAACATGTCTTCCAGTTTGCTCTTCTTGCGCCCTCGCCGCTGCTGCTTCTTCTTCTCATCCCCATCAGCTAAGCTCTGGTCTACAGGGCCCTCAACAGGCAGGTCCACGGGCATCACTGGGAACCGAAGGGGAGGTGTCAGCCCCTCCCAGGCATGCTGCTCCTAACTCGGCTGACGGATGCTTTCTGCCTACTCTCCCCAACGCCAGTTGGGCCCACCACCCTCTCAGCCCTAGGAGTGAGCCCTCACCTCCCGGGCCTCCCTGGCAGTGCCCCAGAGTTCCTGTGATCCCCACCTTCTCCCAGGCCCCACTGGAGCCCTCACCCGTCTCACCCTCGTCGGGCTGCCCATCCCCACTCAACACCTCCGTCTGTGCAGCAGGCCCTTTTTTCACACGTGTGTGGGATTTCCGCTGTCGCACCATGAAACCACCGATGCCTATGAGGAGGCATAGCGGAGACTGAGAAGCTGCTGGGGACCTGGTGAGCTCTCTCTCACCACGCACCTCCCCATCCCAGGGCCTCACCAGGCCGATAGGGTTTGCGTTTGCGTTTCTTGCTTTCCTCGGTCTCCTCTCTGCCAGGCTCCACATCAGGGCTGACGGGGCCCTCCAGTTTCATTTCGCATTCCATGTGCTCCACGCCACCTGTGGATGGGGACGAGAGAGAGAGAGAGAGAGGGAGAGGGGGAGAGAGAGAGAGAGGAAGATCAGAGGCATGGACCCTTTTAACCTTGTTATCCTGCCATCCAAGAACAGAGAGCCCGGTGCCTTGCCACAGAGGCATCTGGCAAGACCAACAGTGGCTTGAGCGGGACCGGGAGTGGCAACGCTGCCCCCCCAACACTCCACTCTCACAGGTGCCTTCCCGTTCCTTGGGCACTCCCTGAGATTCCCCAGCCTGACCTTCACCCTTGAGCAGCTCATCAGTGTCCAGGTCCCCATCCTTCTTGTCATCAGGGCCAAGGGCATCTGAGGGCTCAGAACCCTCTAGCCCTGCCTCGCCCGGGAGGCCGAGCCGTGCCCGCCGCTGGCGCCGCTTGTGCAGGGGTGACATGGTCAGGTTACGCAGCACGGCCATGCCCGTTTCGGTCAGCCACACGCCCTCGAAGCGGAAGTACTGAGGCTCTGCACAAAGGGGAAGAGTGTGTAACCCCTGGATGGAGGCCCCAGAGAAACCAGAACTCCAAGTTCCAGCCTAAGTCCCCCTCTGGGACAAAAGCAGCAAAAGACAGACCAAAGCGAATGCTGGGGTGTGAGGGCTGGAGAGGACAGGCCACCGACAGGTGCTGAGGCCCGAGTTCTCCATCAGTGACCCAGAGGGGTTCACAGAGACGGCTACTACAAAAGCCTGACTTTGCTCATGACTAACACTAGTTCACCAAATACATTCTCTAGGTGCCTGGGCCTGCCCAAGGCCAGCATATGGTGCCCCAGACACCAGGAGCAGTGTCCACATCATGCTGGAGGAGGAGGTGGCCCCAGCCTCCTTCACTGAGGAGAAAAAGTTGTGTTCTGTGCTCTCTAGAGATGAGATTCTGGCAGTGCGAAGGCCATGTTGCCTAGTGGAATGAACTCTGCCTGGGAAAATGGAGGCCTTGGTTCTCATCCCAAGTTTACCACTCATCTACTGGGATCAGCTTGGGCAGGCCACTCAACCTCTGAGGATCTTAGTTTCCTCCTCTGAAAATGAGGAGATGAAGTTGGGGGGCTGGAGCTGGACTAGACGGTGTCTAAGTCTCCTCTGGCCTTGGCATTTCGGATTTCTGTGACTCACCTGGCTCTTTCACCTTCATAGGCACCAACTCTGGAGGGGCCACAGGCGCTATGGAAGAGACAAGCAAGCCAAGGCCACTTGAGGCCCTGTCCCAAAGCAACGCACCCCTGCCCCTCTCCCCTCTCTCTTCTCCCCAGCACCTGGGACTCACCAGCAGGCTTTACCACGTAGGGCTGGCAGGAGACACAGTCAAAGCCCTCGTCAGCCGCCTGTTCCACATCATCCTCCGTGAAGAGGCTCTCGCAGCCAGCATGCATCCACCTGGAAGAAGGGAGGCAGGAAGAGATAAATCCAGACAGTGCAAGGATGAGAACAGGGAAAAAGTCTACATAAGGAGGGAGGGGCGCCCTCACCGTTCACAGTGGCGGCACTGGATTAGTAGGTCTTCTTCCACGTACGGGGCGTGACAGATAGGGCAGGTCACCAGGCTGGCACAGGGCCCGCAATGTGTGTAACTATTCTGCCATTCACAGTGGAAGCCAGGGGAGGCGGCCCCACACTGCATACAAGACACACACCTGGTGGGAGCAGAAAAACAGACCTTCAGCACCTAAACCTACCCAAGGCAACCAGAGACACCTTCACACTGAGAAGCAAGCGACCAGCCCGGCCTTCTAAACCCAGCCTCTGTCATGTTAGCAACATCGCATCCCTCCCACATCTCTGGCCCAGGCCCCTCAAGAGCCCGGGTCTCCTTACCACTTGCACTTCCAGCCACCCTTGGGCACAGTGAGCAGTGGCGGGTCCAGGCAGTACGTGTGGTAGCTAATGTCACAGTCATCACACAGCAGCAGGCGCGAGGGGTCCGAGGCTTGGCCGCACACCTCACACACAATGCACTCCACGCAACGCCAGCCCTTTAGTAGCATCACCTTGGTGATCTGGTGTAGAAGATGGCAATGCCTCAGGGTATGACGTACAGGAGAGGGAAGATCTCTTAGAGGAGGGTGGGACTTACCATGGGTAGGGCTGGAGGACCTCGGTGCCCATCCGAGCACAGGAAGGCCGCGCAGAGCACCCTCATCCCCAAAAGCAGTGGTTCTAAACTTAGGCTCCCGGGGATCCCCACCGACCAGAGAACAACCTCACCCAGCCACTGCTTCATTACAATCTTTCACTAGCCAAGTCCCCAGAAAGACTGGGGAAAGAATTAGGTTGTATTTCCCCCAATTTTTCTTGAACATTTAGAACGCGCTACTGTTAAAAATTAATGAACGTTACCAGTCAACAAGTTCTAAATCGACATTAATGAAAACCCCAAAACAAGTGATTACACTTGGGTCAAAAACAGTGCTTTCACCTTGTAAACGTGTGCTTATAATTTTGATTTTATACTTTATCTCCAGGCCATATCCTGTTTTCTATTAGTAAAGCTCTCACAGCTTATACAACAGATTCAATTATACCCCTAAATCAGGGTCTACCACCAAGAAACGTAATAAAGACCACCACGATTTCCAGAGTACTTTGCCCCAAGATGAGTTTGATAACCACTAGTGGCTGATAAATAACTTCCAGGACCAACAGCCACTTTAAGTAGTGTGACCAGTTGTCAACTATACTCGAATTTTAAAATTAAAACAAACATGGGGCGCCTGGGTGGCTCAGTCAGTTAAGCATCTGCCTTCAGCTTGGGTCATGATCCCAGGGTCCTGGGATCGAGCCCCACATCGGGCTCCCTGCTCGGCGGGGAACCTGCTTCTCCCTCTGCCTGCTGCTTCCCCTGCTTGTGCGCGCGCGCTCTCTCTCTGTCTCTCTCTCTAGTAAATAAATAAATAAAATCTTAAAAAAATAATAAACCAACAAAAAAAGTAGTGTGACCAGAACTGGGGCCTAAGATAAGAAATAACTGATCCCATTCCCTGGCCCAGGACTCTAGGGCCTTGAACTCACCTTGCTGTTGACACAGTAAGGGTGATAGCACTGAGAACACTGGGAACAGGCAAGGAGGTGGCCCTCTGCCCCCCGGCCAAAGCTGCCACATACCACACACATGTCCTAGAGAAACACACAGAAACCCAAATGTCCAAACTGCTCTCCTCATCTCACTCAGTCCCAGTGACCAACTACAACACTAATCTGAAAGGAGGGAATCAGGGAACCAAAAACCCACCCCCCGTCACTAGGACACTTAGCCATCATGGGCCTGTTCCTTCCTAGCACGCCTAATCTGAACTGGTACATCCTGACGCGGGTAAAAGGAAGGAGAAGTAAAAGGAAGGTAGAAAAATAAAGACTGGTCAGGATGAGAGAGTAGCTTGTCTGACAAAAGTCTATCAGCTTTGAGGTTATTCAGGTGAGGACGTATATTAACTTCCCTAGGCCACAACCTCCGATAGGGCAGAGACCATGTCTTGCCTTTTTCACCGCTATACCCCTTGCTCCTAGCTCAGTGCCAAGCTCAGAGGAGACGCTAAAGAGAAATTTGATGGACGGACAAACAAATGAGCAACATGATCCCGAGTCACTGTTTTCTCATTAGCTGGATATCCCCAGAAGTCAGTCCTTGGTTTGGTTTTCCTCATTTACCCTCCCACCAAAATATGCACACCCAGTGTCGGGTCTGCTGGGTCTCGGTGCTGAGGACGCGACTGCCCCGGTCAAGCATGGTACCTGCATGAGGACAAACTTGTCTGTGTTGGAGAAGAGAACCACAGTATTTTGCATGGTGTCGTCATCGTCGTCTTCTTCCTCCTTGCTGGGAGAGCTATCGATATCAGCAACCTTACAGGCAGAGAGTTGTGGCAAGTGAGGCAGCTACATCTGCCCCCACTAAGCTGCTTTCCTCTTTGGTGTTGGGGGAAGGAGGCGTGAACCCCTGGCTAGGATGAAGGCCAGGAGCCAGCACTAAGAAGCAGAAGAACACCCCAGCTCCCAAACTGGGGCTCAGCCCGACAGCAGAGATTTCAGAGGAGCCCGGGGGCCAGGTGGACAGAGGAGCGCAGACAGAGCTGGACAGGCCCTAGGCTAGCGGGCAGGTAGGTGAGCGTGCAGGGGACTGGCAGTGTTTAAAGGGTGCTTAATCTTGAAGGGGCCAGCTGAAGCATGTTTGGGAAATGGGAAGCCTCTCCTTACTACCAGAGTCTCAATGGAAGAAGTAGTTGATTTTAGCCGGGCCCGTCCTCTCCCACGTCCTCCATGAGCTCCTCCACGTGGCCGGCGTCTTCCTGGGAAACTACTACTGCGACCCTGAGTGAGGGAAGAGGGTGGTTACAGTGGCAAGTCGGGAGCTCGTGATCCTGCAGCGTGCCGGGGCCGCACGCTTGGGGGTGGGGAGAGAAGAAACAAATGGACAGAGCCTGAGAGTTATTGATAAGGCCCAGGAGTCCCAGTCAGGGCAGGGCAAAAGCCAAGCTCTCAGACAGCAACAGGTAGGTAGCTCCGGCTCAAACCACGCCCCTGTCCCAAGGAGAAAGAGGGGCCAACATGGCACGAGGAGAAACACGCTGGCTAGAGAGACCTGAATCTCTAGTCCTCGCTCTCCTACCGAGTAACCACGAACCCGGGCAATTCACTTCCCCCGCTACGTATCAGCGTTCCCCTTACAGAAGTAAGAGGGCGCACCAAAGGATCTCTGAAAGGCTAGGACTCAATCAGCCAGGCGGGAAGCTATCAGGGACACAGGCCTACACCCCTGACAGTGGCATCACATTGACCACAACCAGTGGCCGGATAGCCTCTCACCTGTTTGATGCGGGAACGAGCTGGGGAGCTGCGCCGCCTCCCCTTGTCCCCCTCGGCTTTGCCTCCGCCAATAGCTGTCCCAGCATCACACAGCAGCGAGTCGTCAGTCTCTGGCAGCGAGTCAGTACAGAGCCGCAGGGAGCCCTCATCTCGGGCTGGACTAACGTCTGTAGATACCCCCAGCTCCATGGACAAGGAGCCGCCCCCCTCGGGGTCGGGAGAGCCTAGCAGGGGCTCTGAGCCAGGAAAACTGGCACTGGCATCGCCCTGGCTCAGATTAGAGATCTCATTAACGATGTCGGATTTGATGAGAGCGGGTGGGGTAGGGGCCACTGGAACACGTAGCCCCTCTTGCTCTTCACAGGGTGAACCCTGCCCTGCCTGCTTGCCTTCTGGGCCATAGACCTCCATAGGGGTCACAGGGGCCAGCTCCTCGGGGTCCAGGAGCACAGGGGAACCCTTAAGTTCACCAGCCAAACTGCCAGGGGTCTGTCCAGCCTCTGCCTGTGAACCAGGAGTGTCAGTCCCATCCAGAGGGGCTGTGTCTTCCCCCAGACCAGAGAAGTCATCCAGAGCTGGGGCAGGGCTGGGTGCAGGGCAGGAAAGGTTCCCCATGGGGGAGGGGACAGGACTAGTAGGGCTGGGTTCCAAGGCTGGACACTCAGGTTCTGGGACTTTCTCAGTCTCCATCTCATGCGGCTCAGCCTCATCTGAGACCTCCACTGCCTTCTCCATGGGACTCAGCGGGGAGGGAATGGACAGTGCCAGAGCAGGAAGAGAGCCCTGGGAAGGAGGGGAGTTTTGGGGAGGCAGGGAATGCTGGAGGAGTGGAGAACACCGAGAGGGAAGGGGCTCCATCAGGATGGGAGAGGCTGGTCCCATTGGGGAGCCTGGAGATGGGGGGAGGATCATAGGGGGTACAGGCTCAGGGTCAGTGCAGTTAGCTTCTGGTGGAGGGCTGATGGGCGTCTCAAGGATGGGGGCAGCCAACGGCGACTCAGGGTCACTGTCCCCTTTGGCACCAAAGGGGTACTCTAACGCCCCCAAAGGAGACAAAGCCGGCGGGGCCACAGCCGTGATAATGGGCGAGAGCGGAGGAGGAAGAGGATCTGGAGAGAGAGAGAAAAAGGGAGGCTTTTAGATTAGATGTACCATAAAGGATTAAGACTGTCCCAGATAAGAAGGTATTAACATCCCTTTACCTGGTGGCATCAGCTGAGGTGACAAGGATGGCTCCCCGGATGGGGACAACGGCAACTCCTCAGGTAGAGGGGACAGAGGTGGCTCCCCAGGCTCAGACAGGGCCGGCTCTCCAAGCAAGGGGGATAGAGGTGGCTCCCCAGGTGGGAGGAACAAGGGCAATTCCTCAGGTGCAGGGCATAGGCCTGGCTCCTCAGGGGGCTCTTCAGGTCGAGGGGACAGGTGCGGTTCCTCAGATCGAGGGGACAGGCGCGGTTCCTCAGGCCGGGGGGACAGGCGCGGCTCCTCAGGCACAGGGGACAGCTGCGGCTCCTCAGGCACGGGGGACAGGCGTGGCTCCTCAGGCCGGGGGGACAGACAGGGCTCCTCGGGTCCAGGGCACAGGTGCAGCTCCTCAGGGGCAGGGGACAGGCATGGCTTCTCAGTCCGGGGGGACAGACGCGGCTCCTCAAGCCAAGGGGATAGATGCAGCTCCTCAGGCGCGGGAGACAGGCATGGTTCCTCAAGTGCAGGGGACAGGCGCGGCTCCTCCGGCCGAGGGGACAGGCGCAGCTCCTCCGGCCGAGGGGACAGGAACAGCTCCTCAGGCCGGGGGCTGAGTTGTGGCTCCTCAGGCAGTGGCAACAGGGACGACTCCTCGAGCGGCAGGGTCACGAGTAAGTCCTCCGGTGGTGGAGAAGCAGGTGAGTCTTCAGGTGGCGGGGAAGTGGGTGAGTCCTCAGGTGGTGGGAATAGGCGTGAAGCCTCAGGTGGTGGGGACGTGGGAGATTCCTCGGGTGGTGGGGACAGGGGAGATTCCTCAGGCGGTGGGGACAGGCGTGACACCTCAGGCAGGGGGGACAGGCATGACACCTCAGGCGGGGGGGACATAGGTGAGTCTTCAGGTGGTGGGGACATGGGCGAGTCCTCAGGTGGTGGGGACAGACGTGATGCCTCAGGTGGTGGGGAGAGGGGAGACTCCTCTGGTGGAGGGGACAGGGGCGATTCTTCAAATGGTGGGAACAGACGGGATGCCTCAGGTGGTGGAGACATAGGAGACTCTTCGGGTGGAGGAGACATGGGTGACTCCTCAGGTGGTGGAGACAGGCGAGATGCTTCAGGTGGTGGGGAAGTGGGCAACTCCTCAGGTGGGGGGGACAGGGGAGACTCTTCAAACGGTGGGGACAGGGGTGACGCTTCAGGTGGTGGAGAGAGGGGTGTCTCAAGTGGGGGAGATGGGGGTGACTCCTCTGGTGGAGAGAATGGTGACTCCTCCAGTGGAGAAAAAGGTGATGATTCAGGTGGAGGAGACAGAGGAGACTCCTCAGGCGGTGGAGAGAGGGGTGATTCCTCCGGTGGCGGGGACAGGCGCGATGCCTCAGGTGGCGGGGATGTGGGCGATTCCTCAGGTGGTGGGGACAGGGGCGACTCCTCAGGTGGGGGCAGCAGTGGCATCTCCTCATTTAGGGGGACCTCCAACCGGGGCTCAAGTTGGGCCCCTGCTCTCCCTGCAGACATAAAACACTATGCTCCCACCTAGCTCAGCTCTGCTTCATAGAGTAGGCGAAGCAGACACTGTCCCTTGCCACAGAACAGACAGGAATTATTTTCAGGGACCCTCAAACCCCACTCACCTAGTGGTTTGGCTTCACATTGCAGGGGCCCCGGTTCCTTGGGTTGCATAGAGGTCATGTGCCCACCCTTTGGCTGCCCTTGGCATGCAACGTACAGAGCTTCGGGCTCATCAGTGGGGGTATCGCCAGGCTCTGGGGGTGAGAACCTGTAGAGGGTACAGGGGAGCAGGCACCGTGGCTCTCGTCAACTATCAACTCCTAGAGAGCACACCGGGGCAGGGCGGGAATACTACAGATCATACTGCCCACCTTGGGGCTCTCCTCTCAAAGTCAGCTTGCTTTCACAAGTCCCCTGCGGGTCTCAGTACTTCCAAACCCCCCCCTCCCTATCTCTTCCAGTCCACACTACTTACCTGCTACAGACAGGGGGATGCTGCTCAGCAACAGAACTGACGAGCTGTCCTCCCTGGGCTTTGTGACAACGGTGACAGAGTGAGTAGTTTTCATACCACTCAGAGTTGGGATTCAGCTCTGCTGAGCCTGCCCCACAGGCCCGGCATACCCGGCATGCCTAGGGGAAGGAAGCGGGCAAAAAGAGGCACTGGTCAGAAAGCAGCCGGGAGGAGAGCGCAGGACTCCGCACCACAGAGAAACAAGAGGCTGTAGGTGGGCAGAATTAGGGAGAGGAAGGCCGAATCGGGGGATCTTCACCTTGCACTTCCAAGAGTGAGCGGGCAGTTCCTCCATTGGTGGTTTTAGGCAGAAGGTATGGTATCCTTTGTCACACGTCTCACAGACCAACATCTTAGAGTCATTCCCAGGTTTCCTGCAGGGACATGGGGAACGTAACAGGGTCCTTCCTCCCCTCATTTTCAACCCTAAGCCCTGCTTCGCTTCACCTAAGGCTTCTCTCCTGCCCCCACTTCTTACCTGCAGGCTTGGCACACTTTGCATTCCGGGCACTGCCAGCCAGCACGCTTGCGGGCGGTAAGAGCAGTGTCCAGGCAGGCCCCGTGATAGTGATGCCCGCAACTGGTACAGAAGAACAGGTCACACAATTCCCCTGGCCCCTCACATACCGCACAACGAGCCTCCTCTACAGTGGGAAGAGACAGAGGACGCGGGTCAGCTACGGATTCCCTGCAGGACTCAGCACAGCGCTCTCCACATAACAGACATTCCAGAGGACACAGAATGAACAAGCAACAAAAAGTTGAGTATCTGCCTAACACATGCCAGGCACTCTTCTAGGCACTGCGGACGCCACGGTAAGCAGGACAGGCAAGAAGTCCCTGCGCTCCCAGGTTCGCCCCTATTTCCGTGGGGCACACAGACGGCGCTGTGCAGAGCACACAGCCCCTGGGGCACACCTGGCCCCTCATCTGCCCTAGGGCCAGAGGGCAGGGCTTCTTACCCAGATGTGCAGCCCCCTCACTGTGCTCCGGGCATAGCAGCTGCAGTGTTTTCATGGATAGGAAGGAACCGCTGGCAGTCGCGCAGGGGAAGTGGTAAAGCCGCGCACATCCGGGGGAGCGGCAAGGGATGGAGGCACCGAGCCGGGTGCAGTGGGAGCAGCGCTGCCGGGGTGTAGACAGAGTGTCAGTGCCCGCCACTCTCTCCCGAGCAACGGGTCGGCCACCAGCCCCGCCTGTCTCCCCACTGCCCTGCTCAGCCTAGCCTCTCAGAAGCCCGCCAGCCCAGCCCGCTCTGCCCTCTGCCTGGGCAGCCCCTCAGCTCCAGCCGCACCTGTGAGATTCCTGAGAAGATGGCCTTGTCCACACCACATAGCTCTGGGCCCTCCTGCCCCCACACGCCCGCCGACCACGCAGCACACCAGTGGTGAGCCCAGCAGGACCCTTCACGATGGAGAGGGGTAAAGAGAAAGGACAGAGTTAGCAAACCAGTAACCACTGGCTCAGGACTGCTCAGCCCATCCCCCCCTTCCTGCCCAAGTCGGCCACCCCACCTCCCCTCACTTACCTCCAGGTTCTCCTAGGTGGGCAGGTGTCAGGCCCTCGGGGAAGCCAATCTGTGACAGGTCCTCACTGGGCAGCGCCGCCTCGTTGGGCCCTGGGCTCCCCCCAGGGGACACCACTGGACACTGGGGCCAGTCAAATGGCAACTCAAAGCGCCGTAGTTCCCGCTGCCCATGTAGACTGGGCTCCCCACAGTTACAGAGAGCACAACGCCGCACTGGACCCCCACTGTGGACATACAAGCATCAGCACCATGCCGGGCCCCGGCCCAAAGGCAACCCTAACATCCCCGTGATTTGGCATGCCTATGATTCCCAAACACTCAGCTTCCTAAATCTTCCTCCTTGAAAGCTGAGATTCTCGGGCACCTGAGTGGCTCAGTTGGTTAAGCAACTGCCTTCGGCTCAGGTCATGATCCTGGAGTCCCGGGATCGAGTCCCACATCGGGCTCCCTGCTCGGCAGGGAG